AATTGTAACCCCTCTGTACAGTATGTTCACAAATAAAATTAAATTAAATTTAAAAAAAAGCCCAACTAGGAAAGTCCATGAGACTCTTCTCTCCAATAAACCACTCAGAAAACCAGAAGTGGTGCTGTGGCTCAAATGGTAGAGCACTAGCCTTGAGCTGAAGAGCTGAGGGACAGCGCCCAGGCCCAGAGTTCAAACCCCATGCCAACAAAAAAAGAGAGAGAGAGAGAGACAGAAATTCCAAAGTCCTAACCTCTCATTCCTTAGGAAAAAATAAGGGGAGCTGTTGCCAACTTCTGGCTAGAACTGGAAAGCACTACAAGGCACATCTATTTGGGGGTTTAATAGAGATGGCTTGTTGGTAGAGAGCAGCCCCAGAGGACTCAGATGAAGCCACTCTCTCTATAATTAAGGAAACACATCTCTTTCCCTCAATTTCTGACAGCAGAGCCTGTTGAAAGCCTAAAGAGCCAGGTGACCCTTTGAAAAATCTAGTTTAAAAATAAAGGGTGAGCAAGAGAGAGCTCTTAGCAAGATCACAGGTGGCAGAATCACCAAGAATGCAGAGAGCTACACAGGTAGGAGCAGCCACTGCTCCATGTCACTGGCCATTCTCCACTCCTGCCATCTGTCCTCAGGACATCTTCAAAACTGTCCCCCCAGCGCCATCACCAGGCTCCACAGGGAGTGTGCGTTCCTATTCACATGAATCTGCAGTAGATACAGCCCCCTAGTCTATCACACCTTCTTTAGAGCTCTTAGAAAGTTGGTTGTTTGAAAACAATTTTTATTTTATTTTGTTTTTGTTTTTTTAGGTTTGTTTTTTGGGGGGTCCGGTCATGATACCTGAACTCTGGGCCTAGGCACTGTCCTTCAGCTCTTCAGCTCAAGGCTAGCGCTCTACTACTGGAGTCACAGCGCCACTTCCGGCTTTTTTCTTTTTGCTTATATGGTGCTGAGAAATCGAACCCAGGGCCTCAGTCATGCAAGGCAAGCGCTCTACCACTGAGCCACCTTCCCAGCCCCAATATTTATTTTAGTAGGCCCCTATTTTACAACCCTGTTGGACTAAGAATGTGTGTATGTGTGTGTTTGTGTGTGTGTTTGTGTGCGTGTGTGTGTGAGAGAAAGTGCAAGAACAGATGAAGAGACAGGTATACTTTTAATGTGATCTAGGCATAACTTTAAAATGCAGAAAACATACAGGAAAAGATAGATTTATATGTACATAGATATGTATATATGTA